GATGTCTCTTCCAAATTTCTGTCCCCCATGAGGACACTGTATGCGAACTCCTGTGGGCGCATACGGGTATCCGACAAGTTTTTGCCTGAGTTCACCACGTCCAGTAGTGTAAGACAAGGCCACCCTCTCTCACGTTTCCTCGGGTGGCGAAATGCTCCCGGGAATTTCGCGGAAAATATTGCTCCCCTTGGTTCAGATGTTCCACAAATTCAAACGGTTTCAGTTAACTTAAATAACTCTGCTGCACGGTTCGGCATGTGCATCACACCTGCAAAGTGTAAAGTTCTGCTATAAGACCGGGTCGGATCAAACCCCAAACTCATGCTTGCGAAGCGAGCCAATCGACGTGGTAGATAAATTTGTTTTACCTGGGCGTTTATATGAAATCCGGCGAACTGGTTGTAGATGGGATAACTTCTCGAATCCTGAAAGCCAGAGTAGCTTTTGCCAACCTCTGACATCTAGGACGCCGATGTGACGTCGGTTTGTCTGTTAAGGGCAAAGTTCATTCTGCTGCAATATGATCCATACTGCTTTATTCATCAAAAAACGTGGCCTTTACACGCACAGGGCATACAAAAGATGTCAGTATTTGACCATCGGTGTTTCCGGAACATTGGTCAGGTCTAGTGGGAACATCGGATTAGTACTGCTGAGGTACGCCAGATAGTCTTTAGAAATAAGAACTCTCCCGCGATAGGTGAATTACTCACGCTCCATAGGTTGCTTTGGTTAGGACATGCACTCCGCATGCCAGATAACCGTTTGCGTCGCAGAACTCTTTTCGCTCGGCTGAATGAAAGCGACTGAGAGGTAGACAGTGTATGACCTGTATGTATGACCAATAAACTCAGTCGGGTCGACAACTTTCGCCTCTCGGGGTGGGGCCCCCGGGACTCCACTCACCAATGGTTAATGACGCTGGCAGAAGTGGCCCAACCTCGCAGTCAGTGGCTATCATGAATCAAAGTTATCGCTTTCATTGCGTAGCTACCCAATTCCCGAACTAATTGAATATGCTATTGTCTCTAAGGCTTGGGTATAGGTCCCACTGTAGCAGCTGGAACCAATATACATGTGGTACGCGGTATATAGCTGGTGAATTGTTTGAATGGGGCAGCTGCTGATATTTATATAAAGTACCTTCAAATACTTAGTTTTGCAGTGTGATGTAAACCTCACTCACACTTACGAATAAGAGTAGTGCAACAGTGTGTGGCACTCCCAGTTTCAGTGATCATGTTTGTGTTGGTAGTTGTTTCAAGCTTTGCCTACCAACCAGTTGTAGATATAGATGAAGGTATTAGACTTTCACAAATATGAGATGGTTGGCATGGAAGCGTAAGTTAGAGTAAGGTCATCCAAGCGATCGGCGTATCGCCCCCGACCCTTGTTTTTGGTTTAGATTATCAACTTAGATCCTTATCTTAGATATTGTTGCGAGTTTCGACTTAGCTTGTAGTGGCCTGATGGTGTGACACGTGCATCTGAACAGCTTCTCTTCAGTTCACTTCACTTTTAAGTAGAGATGCATGAGTCACGGTTAGTGCAATCGGTTCTTTATTCATCCACCCCTGATCTAAGGTGGGAGATATAGTAGACCATGAGTCGTCGTTTCAGTTACGTGATTGCACAATGCAGTGTTGCTAAAAGGTCGTTAAGACTACAAAATGGCACATGTTCGGCTGTAAGAAAAGGTTTAGAACAAATGACTATCCCTTGTTGAGTTTCTAGGGAAACCGTTTTGGTAAAGCACACGTCGATGCTGGGAATGGTCTGAGACCTGGAAGACCGCCACAGTGTGCATGAAGAACAACGCGACGTGTCAGCACATGGTCATTCATGGTGACCCATTCTATTTCTTTTCGGAAGACGAGTGGGGTAACACCGCCACGGTTTGGACACACCAGAATCATTCCTGATAACTGTATTTCTGAAGATATCCGATGGTCACGTTTCTGTTATTGATACCGTGCTGAAGTATTTTTTAAAAACACGGAGTTCTGAAAGCCTGCTGAAAAACCTATGTACATCATTATATGAACATTTTAAGTGAAGCCCCAATGTTTTCTGGAGAAAACTCAGTTAGAGTTTGGGATAACCCATGAAGAGTTGACGGCACCCGGTTTAACGTCTGGTTGAGAAGAGGTCGCTCTGGGCCACTTTCCTTGTTTGTGCCGATTGTCAGGTCATTTTCTAGGTTGGAGTGCTTCTTTCCCGTTAAAGCCATGACTCTAGAGCTGGAGAAGCCGTTGTTTTGATATGGAGGACTAGTACGCTCATAGTTATGCGTTTTGCAATTCGTCGATTGCAAGGGACTCGGGTCGCCTGTCATTCAAACCGGTTCTGATGCCCTTTCTGATAGTTATTTCAAATAAATAATCGCTCAGCTTTGATGTTCTTTCGCTGCGTAGCTGCTGCGCAGCTCGAAGAAAGTACGAAGGCTAAGTTACCACCAGCTTTCCCAAGCCTGGAAGGAAATAAACCAAAAGCAAGGGTTGGATTCGAACCACGAACCTTCCAAATAGTGGCTTTGCATCTTAACCGCCGGGCTATGTCGAGTTTTTTTAATTCAACAATACTGTGGATAAATGTCGATTTTCCATCGTTCTTTGTTGAATCGGTTCGACATACTTGTCGTTCAGTTCTGGTTAACTCAGGTCAAACCTCACCTCGCCGTTAAAAGCAAGTGAAGTATGTGGATGTGTTGTCTCAACACCTAGCCCACCCTGTGGTATAACGTGAGGAGGCATAGGTTCACGCACAGTGAAAATGCGTGAATCACTCCTGTTACCCAGTAGTGAGCACGAGCCGTCTAAACTGCTGCTATATTTCCATCTTTCAAGGAGGGTTACATCAGCCTGGTAAGTTGATGAACACTTCTGATGTAACGTCCTTCGGAAGGTGCAGAGGTACTACTTAGGTTTGCTTGCTGGAGACGCAAGCTTTTGACTCTGTGTTTTTGGAATTTCTCCACATAACTCCGTAAAGACGCATGAAAACAATTACGAGTCTTCCGCATGGCTCGTTCGAAGCCAGTGGCAATACCCGCGTTAACCATAACAAATACACCCGCTCTCTTTAATCTCGGCTTGTTTGCTTTTTGTGGCGATTTTCATTGCCTTTTGGGAAAATAGACTCTTGCTGGGCGTGTTCATTTCCGGTCTAATTCTATGAACCACACAGAACTCCAACACCAGCCTTATCAAGTGCACCTTCCTGTGTCTAAGTTCCTTTTGATGCTTAGAACCAAGTTCTGTTGTTGAATGGCATGCTCCTTGTTTTTGATTACGTCTCACACCTGGATCTCAATGATACCAAAACTGCCAACCCCGGAACCAGTCGTTTCCCTTTTTTGAACGCAATCACCCCTAAGTTTATTGTTTTAGAGAGAAGCCACTTTGGGTCACTTTGAGCCACAGCTGTCGCCGGACTGGTCTTGAGAGTGAAATTGAAAGTCCACTTCGTCGCATGAAATTAGGTCTCCAGATTCAGCAATGGACTGGCAATGGTTTTGACACAGGCGAACTTCATCGGCTATGTTCTGCTGTCGTCCTCACTTCAAGACGACCCATACGGCGTCGTCATCCCGCGATACATTAATGCTTCGATAGATTAGATGGATGTACGTAAGCTCGATTTGCGGTAATACCTGAAGGAGGTTAGTTGCTAGGACAAACCCCGTGTCCAATGTCTAGCTACCCTAATAACCAATCTCCGTTTTGTTATCCAAGTTGGCGCTTGCGTGATAACCATTTTTCCACAATATTGAGCTGACCATCCTTTTTCGAGCACCCCTCCTACGTGGTACTCTATATCCGGTGATTCATCTGATTTTATGATCGCGCAACTCTGCGTATGATGTCAATGGCTACCTTGCAGCGCTATTTTGGTTGACTTGCTGCATACAATAGGGGTGGTTGACGAATATACATAACTGCTGAAGTCTTTTCACACTCGTTCCCATACTTCACCATTTCTTTGTTAGTTATCCATTAGGCACATTTATTAGGATTGGCAGCTATGTTCGCCTTGCATCACTGTAACACTTAGTCTTCGCTCAGCCACCGCAGCAGTAAGCATCTTGAAATGAATGATTCCTCGACGTTTATAACTGATGAAATTAGTTAAAGCACTGTGAGTTGTATTGTGTTATGGTCAAGAGAGTCGGTCACTGCGCCTTCCAGGATGAGGTCCACGTAACCCTCCTGGTGTCTGGATGGAGACACTGAAAAATATGTCGGCCAACCAATGTCAGCGGCGTTCATGCTCCCATCTTCTATCCAGCTTGTCTCTCTCTGAGTGTTGGAAGTGTAGGCACCTCGGGTTTTATGTTAGGCTAGCCCTAGGCCCCCACTGTCTCACTTCTTTACATTATAGGGTTCTTCCCAAATAAATTGACATGGTCGTATGTCAGCGATGCACCGTTCTCTGATGTTGCTTTCAGTGATGATGACGGAAGTTGAAATTTCGCGACATATGCTTATGTTCCTTTATAGCTGGAGGTAGCTCAGTGGTAGGGTGCGAACTTACTGACCGGAAGGTCCGTGGTTCAAACACAACCTCAGGATATCTATTGCTTCTGTCTTGGCTTGGATGTCGGTGCGTATATCAGCCATTGTTTTCCTTCGGGTGGCTTGACAGCTATGCACCGAAAAGGTGTTACAACTGAACAATGGTTGATTCCTTGATGCCTCATTTAATGATATCTTTCCCAAAGAAAACTCTTTTTGGGCTTCTTTGCAGGCAGAGATAACGGTGTGTCATTTTTCTGTCCTGAAAAGTTGGATGGAAGAGAATCCCCGTCTCAAACTAGGTATAACCATGCTCTTTCATATCTGTCTAGCTGTACAGGTATGCGCTAGTTTATGACCAGGGTTTTCTGAATATGATGAGGCGTTATATTATTTGACTTACAGTATTTATTTCGTGCTCATTTTATGTCATCCTGTGTGGCCCGGTGTTCAATCTTCTTTGATTACTGCCTATTCTGTCCCCAGACCTGAGAAAGTTTCGCTGGGCACCAGTTTAGAGGAGGCGCTGGTCTATCGATATGTACTCTGTGCAGAGTGTCAGCTGTCTGCATCTCTCAACCCTTCTGGGACTGGTAGCGTGGACAAAGACCGTGCAGATCCACGGAAAACGTTGTTCCAGCCCACCGATTCACCAGGTCGGTTGTCCGCTCTTATGGGGGCTAGTCTGGATCCTGATAGTTTGGAATATTGCGGAATGTCTAATGAATCGGAGCGACCAATTCGTATTGAGTTATTCACTACACCAGCTAATTCACAGGATCCAGCACAGCACCGCAGCTGCGGTCCTCAAGGTGCTGAAACAGCTTTAAAGTATTTGCGCACGGTGACATTTCCTTTGGTCCCCGTATATCGTGCTCTACGTGGTCCTCCATCGCCAGAAATGGCTAGTCTCTGGCCGCAGCTTGGTGGTACCTTGGGGCACTACCTCCCAAATTTGTCGAAACTGGATCTTAGTGGATGTCTGGTTAGCAGGTGGAAGGAGATTGCTGAAGTACGTTTATTTTGCAAATTTACCAATAACCCCACCCTCTAATGCTAGATTGGCATCCAACTGCCGTGGCTGAAGTCATTGGACCTCAGTAGCAATCACCTCCGCCTTCCTCTGCTTTTGGCCAGCCCCAGTGGTGACGCAGAACAAACACTCCGTGTGAAGTACGACTTGGATACGCACCCAAGTGACGAAAAATTGTTCTCACAAGCATTTCCCAATGTTTGCTGCCTTGTACTTGTGCGCTCATTATTTCTGGATTGGCCTGGTTTGTTGCGAATCATTAAGTGGATGCCTTCGCTCAAATCTCTAACAGTTGCTTACAATCAGGTAATTTTATTGTTTGCCTTTATGAAAGATTTTCCCATTCTCATTCCAGTAGTTCTTAAACCCATTTATCATTAATAGAGATGCTTTTACGTCATGTGTAATGGGGTTCAGGTTCAGTTATTCTGAAGAAAGACCATATTTACAAGAAGCTCAGCTTGCATTGAATCTGTTTGCCGTTGTGGTTCATCGATCTGAGGGGTGTACTTTCATGGGAACGTTACTGAAGTGTACATTATGGCTAACCAAATTCAAATGTTCAACGCCCTTTATACAGTAATGGAGATCAACAGGTTTGATCACCGATGGTTCTTTGTTGTTGACTGTCTGCGGTAAGCTGGATTGTGATTTTTCTACCTTTGTGATTACTATTTGTGTGTCCAGTGTATCATTTCCTCAGTACCATAAATGAGAATGTCATCGCTGGCACTGATACATTATTGTTGTACCGAACGTTTGTTTCGAAAGCTCCCGACTACACTTGCCTTGCCTATGACACCACCACGCTTCCCTCTATTTCTGTTTCGCTCTAATCTGCAGTAGAACAATCCAACGTCATTCGAGCACTGCATCCCCTTATTTGCTTGTTGCCGGTGCGCGAAGTGGCACCAGCAGAGGTGACCTAGTGCTAACCCATCACATCGTCAGCCTTGTCATCATTATAATCATCGCCGTCGACGGCAACACACCAGTAACAAATACTGGTACTTATTTGTGAAAGAGGAATGTCCTCGTTTAAAGTGTAAATGAAAGTAAAGTGGCAGCCTAATGTAAGCAGCCTTTTTTCCTCGAGAAAACGATCTATAACAGCTTGTCTACACCTTCAAGCGCTTTTGAGTATCCTATTGGAGTAAGACACTATCATTGTGATTGATTCAACATCATTTACTAACCTATCCCAGCACGGGTCTTACAAAAAGGAGGGATAAACTCAAACTGGTTAGTTCATATAGGAAGTGACGGTGTGCTAGCCACTGGGATCGGCTTCCTGTCATGGTCTGTAGGGATCCTGACGATATGTATGGAGAATTACCGATCCGTAGGACGTGTATATCTCGCAGCACTCAGTTTGGTTAACTTTGGACATATCGTTTGCAATCGTATGATTCTACATGGTCTGGTCGGCAAACTATACAGCTTATACATGGGAGCACTCAGTTTGTTAAGGTCGTCTTCATCTCGCGTTGTCGTGTCATACCCCCATCCCCGCAATAAAGTGGGCGGGGATTCCGTACGCGCAGTGCATCTCCCTACCGAAACCTGGTCAAATCTCCTGATTTTGCTTCGCTATCAAATAATCACTTCACGTCGCCTCATTCCGAACAAGGTTCGGTCAGCTGACACTGTTATGCTGAAAGACATCCCTAATCAGACCGTTGAAGACGTTTTCGTTTCTCGAGTCAATTCAAGTGGTTAAAAACTCGTAAAAGACTTGCGGCGTTAATGATCCCAGTGGCTAGTTTGCTGTCCTTTCCCAGGGTGACTACCTAGATACAATGTGTCTGTAATTGTGTCCTGGGCGTTGTTACCGTTGGTTTCCATCCAGATTGTCTGGATAGATGTCTGGATGTGTAGGTCCCTCAGAAAAATTGTGGGAAGCTAGCGCTAAGTCCATTCCCCTTTTATTCTCTTTTCTTACCATAAGTCTTTCAGCTAAATTATGGTTGTTCGGCAGCGAAGCGTCAGTGTTGTATACCGATATGCTTTTAATGATGACGATGAAGTCCGCAAAGGGCGTTGATCTTGCTCGAATGTGATGCTCAGTTACGTTTATTTCAATGGTTGCGGAAGTCTTCTGTATCTTGCTTTTGGCAGGTTTCCTTAGGAACGAAGGGATTCCTGGAATAAATGCCTCCCTTGCTTCCTTCTCCTCTTCTAGGCCCTCTCTCTGTGGCTGTGTGGCAGCTGAGCGATAGTTTCCACTACTAATGTAGTCCCGTCCGTGATGATTAGAGGATGAAAGTAGTCTGAACTGATATTATTTTAGAACAGTTGCTGTTCGAGTACTGAGCCTCGCCCCCGATTGTTTATAGTAAGGTTACCCTTTCAACTCCATGAATGCTCGCTAGCTGGTTGGTACCAGGTAAGACAACTGAATCGACTATCCTCAAACCCACTATTGCCGGCAAACAGCTGGTGGTCAGCATAAAGTTATATAAGACGTTGGTGATTGCACTTTGCGTCCAAACTACACATTATGCCAAACCATTCTCAGATGCTTTGAGGTGCCCTACCTATGCTTTGAGGTCTCCAGCTATTAAGAACCTTTTCGAATTCTTCATGATTGGGTTTGCCTTTCACTGAGTCAGATCTTCGGTTTGTTGGCACATAAGCAGGAACTACAAACAAACAGCGATTACAACTTCGGCTACTGCATCTCTCTATGGAAGCGAGCAGATGAATAGAGTTGCGATGGGTGTCCAGGAAAGAAGCCTCAGTTCGGGGATGCATCAAGTTGCAGCTGGCGAAGAGGGTCTTCAAGTTCACAGTCGGTGGGATTTTGGTAGCGACTGTTCTCTAATCTCAACTGGGATACTTGGATCTTTCATTTTAACTTCAGAGGTGCTGAGTTCAAAGGTCCATTGCCATTGTAAAAATGGGATCCAACTATTAAACGCTAAGTGGTGGGTTTCAGCGGTGGCGTGCTACTGATCACTTCCATGGATGCCCGACATACGTGCCTGAGAATGATCAAAAAACCAGTCACGGAGTTTAAGAGAAGATAACGAATGAAGATTAAAGGCGTCAACAGCTTCATTTTCTCACCTATCCGCCTCATAGTATGCAGCGAATTAGGTGACTCAACTGATGTCATAATACTTTCACACTTGTTGCAACCTCCAAACTGAAGAACCAAAGGGATCATGTTGATTAGATTTCTGTCTGTTGACCCAATTAGTGGAGGGGCACCGTGGGTACCGCACAGGTATCCTCAACTGTAAGTTGATGGGTCTTTCAGATACACAAACCGTCGTATTGCAATAAGGTTCAGGTTCATGTTTCCTGCAAACAAATCAATTGGATGGTCTGGGTTAATACCGACAGCTGAACCGACCTCAACATCCTCTCGTAATCATTCTTTTCCACGTCCCCAAGCGAGTTCAGGGAGTGTCATCATTTATCACGGGTAACACATCTCTCCCAGCGAGCCATCTTTTCGTGTGGCGATGTTTTCGTCGACCACATTTCCGCTTCGAGGTCTATGCATTGTCACATTACTTGACGACATCTTGTCTACACAGTAACCGATGCGTTGTATATTCAACCTTCCTCCTACAATGCCCTTGTTAGTACTCACCAACTTTTGCGGCAAGCCTCAAAGTGCATCATGCTCAACTCGGCCTTCTCTCTCTGTCTTGCAGTTAGGTAACCTACCAACCAACCTGGACGTTGATACAGTGCATGCTTTTCACCGATTAGTTGAGTTGGACCTTACTGCAACAGGAACAAGTGAGCTCGGTTACCTATTCTCCATCCTCGGACCGTCTACGGTTTTGGACACATTACTATTGGGTCAGAATCCCATCGCAGCTTTCCCTGAATTACCCGTCTCTCCCGAAGCGGTACGGTCAGACGATCCGTTTGCCCCCTCTATATGGTTTCAAGCGCTCACCACATTGAATATGAGGAATACAGCGTTCACTAACTGGCATCCGATAAAACAACTATTACGATTGCACAGATTGGAGCAATTGACTTTTTCCGATTGTCCGGTTCTGGAGAACTTGACGATGTAGGTTGTTCTTGGTAAATTACATTTAGCTCAGTTTATCTTACGTATAGCCCTTGAAATGACGGAGTGTTCCCAGCCTAGTTTTCCTTCTTAACCCTTCCTTGCTTACCCTATCTGGAGCCACCGTGCCAGAAACGCCATCTGTCGCCTCCGACGCCGCCCGAAAGGATGATGAATTTTAAAATTCCATCGATTGTTTACAAGACTTTGTTGAAGTAGGGTATTCTCAGCCGGTTCAGGTTCTTTCTACTTAGTATACTCGAGATGATTTTGAGCACCCTTTTAGCTCATGGCTTCTATGAAACTGCCATGAAAGAAACATAAGAGTTGAGCGGATTGAGAAGAGAGAAAAGTCGGGACTTTGTTTTAAACCAACAAGCTTTGCTGTCAATGTCGCTCGCTTCACTTGGCCATCTAGAGCCTGGATGGCTAATTCTTGAAAGGTTCGCCCAACTTTGACTACTTCCGCTTGCAAGTCAGCTATACTGCCTCTTATTGGATATTTCAGCTGGGCTTTCTACAGGTCGGTTATCTGGAAATTACTCGTGGCTTTGCAACCTACTCTGCTTTTCTCTTTCCCATCGTAATATTTACTTGCTGGGAAAAGCAGAACAGCCTGGCGCACCTTCACTTACCATTTGTGTACAATGATTTACTTAGTTCATCCTCTCTACCGTGTTACTATCCTTCTTCTCGTCGTCAGTGAACAACACCTTGGCAATAAAAACTGGAACACCAATAGAGCATTCAGGTTGACCACTTATCAACCGTCCGTAGATAACGGTCTTGTGTTCAAAACAATAGCTCCTTTTGAATCACCTGTACAGAGTTGGATCACGCCCTGCTTCGTCCTCTTGTTGCAGCTCCCCCTTCAGCAGCTGGCAAGAACATTCACCGCTATTTAACTCACTGGCCGTCAACGTGGTTTATTAGCGGTAAATGTTTAAACAACTTGCGAACGCAAAACAAACCCGTCGACCGGTGGAAAACGGGTTCCAAATCTAAAATACAGGAATTTCAGAGTTTGGCTATCTCCGAAAACGAGGCCGTGGCCCAATTTATGTTGGATCTCACATCCACCCGTTCTGTGATTCCCCCGAAGAAGGTGGCCCGACGGGGATGATTACCTAAACGACGCCTTACTCGCAGTCTCAGTACTGAGCGCGATAGTGGTGGCTAAGTAATGCGCAAGAAATGGAAAATATGGTGGCGATTCGAGGTGGCCAAACTCTCTACTGAATTATCCGTAGGGCAGGACGATGACCCAAAACTTTACTCCAAGTTCATTTGCGTGCCTGGGTTTGCGTAGCACTTCAAAAGACAAATAAACTAGTCTGACCTGCCCAGCATAACTTCCAACGGGCCAACAGCTTCACAATGGGACGTGAACTGCTCATTCTCAAAATAAGGTGAAATCAAAAACGAAAGCAAACTTTTGGAGCTAAACAGAGAACTCAGTACTGACTGTCTTCCTCTGGATTGTTTGAGGATGGAGGACTCATTCACACTGACACAACTCATGCAGAGCATTTGGAAGAATAATGAAATGCCGGAGGGATGCCAAATATCTTATGTAGATCCTGTTCTCCAAATGGATGTTAAGGTCGGATGCGAGAATCATTGGGGTATCGGTTTAGTCGCGGTTGCTTTTAAGTTGCTAACAGGTGTCATAATGCACAGACTCAGTGGTTAAAGCGCGAATTTACTAACCGGAAGGTCCGTGGTGTGACCCCGAACTCTACATCTCGACTTCCCCTGTCTGGGCTTGGGCAACTTGGCAATATCCCAGCCCCCGTGCTTCTTTCGGGTGGCAAGGCTTTATGTTACTGAAAGGGTCTTACAGCTGAACGGTTTTCTTATTATAAAACTCTTGCGTTGCAGAGTCATGGAAACCAAGCCAAGTTCCATCAGGGTCCTGAATTCATTGGCCAAGTTTTTACCCTACGATAACTTCTTGAACACCGCTAGACTTATATAAGGTCTTATAAGACACATATACATACCGGGAATCCGGTAGACTAATATGAGTGTAAGCGACAAAATCGATAAATCGAGCAACGAGCACCGAA